ACACATCACATTACACACACACATACACATACACATACACACATAGCCCCCAATTACAAATTATTTCAGTAACCTAGCGTGAATAGTCCCATGTACACTAACCCAAACGTATCCACATACCGTCCACTTACATACAATGAGTTTATACTGAAAATGCATCGGATCCTACATCTTATCTTTGGAATACACTTATAGCTACATCTTAGAAATAACGCCGAACATTATCAGTTAGTCATATCATACTTCAAATCTTTCTCACATACAAAAGAATAAGGATAGAGAACAAGAAAACAATAATAAAATGACAAAAAGAAGACGTATAAAACAGAAAACAAAATCGAGGGACACTTGTAAGAAAATGTACACACTTTTTTTAGCCTCTCGAGGAGGTGGTCGAGATAGAAGACTAGTCATAGTTGCTTCTTAGTTACGTCACAGTTGCGTCACCGTGAACCATAACACTTTTTAACAATGGTTCTCGGGTTCCTACGATTCACTTGCAGTCTGTGGTCCTTAGCCAACGTGCTAGGTCACACGAGGTCAGTATCACGTAGAGTTCAATTTCCTCTTCGGTCTTAAAGGGGCACTAACACGTGGCACTCTTAGCTGACAGTGCCAACACTTGCCGCACGTCACTTGCGTGTGTGTGGCACATTCGGTAACCACGCCCTATGAATCTGCATGAGAATGGCACCATGGAAAGGCTATGACGTCAAAAGCGAGAGAGAACATGAATTGACGTCAGAGGGCCACGATGACGCAACGAGAGGACCAAAGTGGTCACCTGTGAGCTGATGACGTCAACGAGTTCGATGTGAATAATACACCGCATGAATGAATTCTGAAACTCGCATCAAAAGATGATGGAACGCTAAAGGTGTTTTGTACAGGAATATACATCGGTTTTTCTCCTCGTAGTCCGCAAGATGTCTCACACGTTTGTCTATTTTCTTCCATATAAAGAAAGAAAATACCCCAAGGAGGTAATCAAACTATTAATTATGAGGAATAAACTTTCTTGCAACTTTGAAAGATTGACAAGGCAGAATCTCCTCAAAAGTTTCTCGTTTCGATCTTCCGGCAAGAGGTAATTGCTATGTCTTTTCTCCTCTCAACTTCTTCCTTTCCAATATCCTTCCTGTTTTCCTGCTTCGCCTCCGAGGGCCTCCGTCTGTCACGCTCGACCTCTCAAAATACGTTTCTTTTTCACTGTCGCTTTGTTTATCGACAGTTCCTCGCCACGCCCAACACTGTCACTGATTGGCTATACTGACTCACTAGTTACCTTCACTCATCTCATCCTTGGCCGCCGCTCATCACATTCCCTAGGGACTCATCGCCCGACGCCCCTCGAGGCCGCCCTAGCAGGCGAACTCGTCGTCGCGGTGCACCTTCGGGAAGTGGTGGTGGTGGCTGTAGTAGTCTGGCGGGGCGCCGTTGGGCTTCACGCCGTGGCCCACCGCGCCCTTCTCGCTGGGGCGGCGGCACACGCGGTACCGCACGAACATCACGAAGATGCCCACCAGCACCGCCGTGGCGATCAGCGCGCCGAGCACCGTGCCCACGCGCTCCACCGCCACGATGGCCGACGCCGGCCACATGGTGCGGCCGCGGATGCAGCGGGAGCCCTCGTCGTGCTGCGGGGGAGGGGGGGGTAGGAAATATATAAATATGTATGTGTGTATATATTATATATATATATATATATATATATATATATATATATATATATATATATATATATATGTTGTCTTTTTATGTATACGCTTTATATTTTCACCGGTTCAAATAATGATAAATATCCAATACAGAAATAGATAAAAGTACTTACATCTCGCAGACTTTCAGCCGTCGGGCCCACAGTGTGAGGGTGGACGAGTCCCAGGGACTTGGCCATCCCATGCACGCACACCTGGTACTCGGTACTAGGTTCCAGGTCTTCTAGGAGGTATTCCCGGGATCCTAGGCCGAGGGTTGGGGAAGTTATGACATCCTGAGGTGCCTTGTCGTCTCCTATTGCTTTGTAAGACACCTGGAGGAGAGGGAAGGAGGACTTTTAGGAACAAGAAATATAAACTATATAGATGTAGATATAAAGATATTTGTGTGTATATATACACCAATATGCTTATTGTGTACACACACACACATATATATACATGCTGTATTTTTATGAATGTATACATATATGAGAATATATGTGTATATATACAATACAGAAATACACATACAAACATATAGATAAATAGTTACACTTTTAACTGATTATTTAATTAACATTATAAGAAAACCAGCTCGAAGCGAAATCAGATTAAAAAAAGAAACTTACCCTGAATCCATACACAGCGGAGGTGTTGGCCGCCTGCCAGGACACCAGCAGCGCCTGGCTCTGCGTGTCCTGGATGTCCATGTTGAGGATTAGAGGCTGAGGGCAAAACACGGACGCCGAGAGAGTGAGGAACGAATGGCCTCGCAAAGTCTGACGGAGAAAGAGAACGCCATTGCGATTACGTTCGTGAATGACGTGCTTGGGTAAAATATATCTGATATTTGTCATGGAGTTGGAGGATTTGTTTTGTTGGTGTTGGTGTTGTTGTTGGTGTTGTTGTTGGTGTTGTTGGTGTTGGTGTTGTTGGATTTGTAGCGAATATGATCTGAGCTTAGACGTACCTCGGGCATTTCGCAGACGATGAGGTGTGGGGATTCGACCTGCCCCGGGTGGTTCTGGAGCCATATCCACAAGTCCAGGGTGTCGCAGTTGCATACGAGAGGGTTGCCTGAAACAAGTAGAAAACGAAAATCCGATAAGTAAAGGGAAAAAAAGAAAATAAAAAAGACAATATGGAAGAAAAAAAATTGGACCCTTATTAATAATGCATCAATGTGCAGCGAAAAGAAAAATAAATCAACGAAAAAAATAAATAAATAAATAAAAAATAAAATAAAAACTAACATAAAAATTAAAGTAATTTAGAATAAAAAATAGTTAAAAACCAATAACAATAAACAAACATGACTCGGAAAAAAAATAATAAACCAATCAAAAAGAAAACAAAAAACATAAAGAAACAGACATCCAAACACATCCAAGCACAACACAACGCCAACCCAACCCACCCGTAAGCTTAATGGTCTCCAAAGTCCTCTCGATAGGATGCAGGACGAAAGGCTGAAGAACCTCCAAGTTGTTGTGATTCAAATCCAGATGCCTGGCGCGATCCAGGGGCTCCAAGGCTCGAGGGTGAATAGACGTTATCCAGGTATCCCCGAGGTAGATCTTCTCGAGGCTCTCCGTGTGCCTGAAGACGTGCTCCTCGATCTCAGTGAGCATGTTCCCCGAGACGTCCAAGACCTGAAGGAGAGAGGGAAAGGCGTGGCAGGAGGGGGCGGAAGGGGACACGCTTGGCTGGGTGACGGTCGGAAGTTTGAATAGGTTACGCGTATATACGATAGATAGAGTGATTGGGATAGGTAAGCGCTACGGGTGGCAAGGGCGCAGCGTAGAAGGTTAGATAGGATAGATAAGAAGGTGGGTAGGAAAGAAGATGTACGGGCGTAGGTTAGAGGAGATAAGCAATGGAGATAGACAGAAGGTGGGAGTAGTAAGTGATAGATAGAGTACGAGCCAGGACAGGCGGCATACGATAGATAGAAGGATAGAAGATAGGGAATAGGATGAGAGTGGAGTGGACTAGGGGTAGGAAGATAGAGTGAGTAATGGGTAGAGCATGAGATAGGTAATGACGTGCGGAGTGAAGGGTAGAGACGTGAAGTAGAGAAGATGAACTAGATGTGAGAGATGAGAGAGAGAGTAAAATAGGCGGATAACGACAGCGAAGTAAAGGAGGAGTTAGGATAGTAATAATAGATAGGAGGATATGGTCCATGCGCGAGGCCTAGCCCGTACGATAGCATACATGACAGAAAGGATAGCGGATGAATCAGACAGTAGTAAGTATAGATACATAGCGCACTAGCATGACCTGTGACGATCATACACATAGCCAAATTATTGAATATTTCGCTATACGTAAAGAAACATACAAACACATATACATAACGTTAAATATATGTCATCATACACTACTACTATATGTTTCATCATACGACACTATCTGGCATACATACTAATCGTTATTATGGTATCATAAAATACATAGCATTTATTATTTAACGGCACATATAATATAGAAACGTACTTACATATTAGCTACATACAATGCAATTACATAAATACATATATCTACATTTTAACAAATCATGCTTATAACAATATGTACATGCATAAGAATAACATACATTGGCAATAATAATATACTATACTGTGTATTATCCATAGATGGCTATTTAACATACTATACCCTACCATAGTACGAGAGATATTAATTCCAATAACACATTAGTTATATTGATTCTTATTATTTATTATTTGTATTATAAATTATGATATAATATTAGATTATTGTTATATTAGTATATATATATATGTTAATTAAATATATTTATAATCTATATGGTTATTGTGAGTTTATTCTCTCGTTCTCTGTCTGTTTTATCTGTTTCTCTCTCTCTCTCTTTCTCTCTCGTCTTTTCTCTCTCTTCGTTCTCTTTGCTCTCTCTCGCTCTCTCTATCCTATCTTCCTCCTTTCCTCTTTGAAACTTAATAAATCTTACCTTCAAATGCTCCTGAATTCCGACGGGAACTGGTCGAGCTGCTTTAAGCCTGTTTCTCGTGAGGTTCCTGTGCGTGAGGGAAGGAAGGCCCCGCAGCCTCTCTCGGGGCATCGTCTGCAGAAGGTTGTAGCCGAGGTTGAGCTGAGAGAGCTGGTTGAGCGTCTGAAGGTCCCCGGGCGCGATGTTGCTGATGATGGTTCGTTGGCCAGGTTGAGGGAGCGGAGAGAGGGCATGTGCAGCAGCTCGTGGCTCGCCAGCTCCTTCAGCTTGGTCCCCGTCGCGACCAGTTCTTCGAGGAAGTCCAGCACCAGGCGCTTCCCGACTTGCTTGTTGACGAGTCTGTCCAGAGGGTTGTTGGAGATGTTGAGGAGCTCGAGGGACGAGACGCCGTCGACGAAGAGTGTGTCTGGGATCTGCTTGAGTTTGTTACCTGCCAGGTTGAGGCGTCGGAGGGACGAGTCCTGCAAGCTGCCGATGGGTAGGTGGGTGAGGTGGTTGTCGGAGATGTCGAGGACTTCGATGTGCCGCAGACTTTCCATCGTGGATACCTTCAGATCCGTCATCTGAATGTCGGAGGCGTAGAGCTCCTTCATCTCGTGCAAAAGTCCCAAGGAGGGGCAGAGATGCTTAATGGGGTTTCCGCTTATGGAGAGCTGCTCAAGCTCCTTAATCGGCAGCAGTGACCTGCAGCTTTGGCCGTCGAGAGCGTTATAAGAAATGTCCAGTCTGAGGAGGTCGAAAAGGCTCCTAAACACAAGAGGCTCCAGGTGTGTTAAATTGTTCCCACGCAGGCTCAGAGACCTCAGGGTTTTGCTGTTGTCGAAGAAGTTCTTTGGCACTGCCTCGATAGAGCATTCACTCAGGTCAAGGGTTTCAAGGAAAGGAAGGTCAATCAGGGCCGATGAACCGACGGCCTGGAAGTTGTTATTGCTCAGGTCAAGATTTCTGAGTTGGCTAAGTTTGAGGTATCCTCCATTAAGTTCATAGAGATCGTTACCCCTCAAGCTCAGTGTGTCAAGGTAAGTCAAAGCGTCGAAGGCTCCATCTTCAATTTCGCTCACCTGTGCATTATCAATTATCAAATGTGTTATGCGAAGTTCAGTCTTGAACAAACTCTTTTCTATTGAAGTTAACATGTTGCCCGACAGATTTAATTTCTCTAGGTTACTCATGTTATGGAAAGAGTTAGGAGCGATTTCCCTTATCATGTTGTTGTCCAAGTGCAGCTCATTTAAGGCAGACAGGCCAAACAGCATGCGTTCGTTTATTGTTTCAAGAAGATTGTACGACAGGTACAACTTTCGCAGTTCTGTCATGTTCATGAACACCTGCTCCTGAATGTACGATATCTGGTTCTCTTGCAGATGGAGCTGTCGAAGGAGAGCGGAATCCTTGAACACGCCCTCGACGAGAGCGGAGATGTTGTTGCGGTCGAGCCAAAGCACGTCCAGCTGGTCTTGTCCCTTGAGCGAATGGTCGTTGAGGGTGTTGAGGTTGTTGCCGCTCAGACGAAGGTATCGAAGGGAGCTCGTCTTGTCGGGAAGGGCGTCGGGGAGAGCAAGGATCTCGTTGTCTTGGAGGCTTAGGTGCTCCAGCTTTCGGAGTTTAGCAAAGGCTCCAGCCGCAATGACTTCGATGTCATTGTTGTCCAGGTGGAGCTCTTGGAGGTACGAATTCAGCGAAAAGAGTCCCCTCTCGATCTTTGCTATTCTGTTGTTCTCAAGGAAGAGTTTGGTCATTCTCGCTGTGTTCTTGAAGAGAGACTCATCAAGATGATGAATATTGTTGTTGTCGAGTTTTAGAGTTTGAAGATTGATGTTTGATATAAACAATCGAGGATAAAGTTCCTGGACGTTATTATGGCTCAGAAGCAAAGTCTCCAGACCGATCATCTCTCTGAAGGTTTCCAATTCTATAAACCTGATGGCATTGTGTTCCAGGTTCAGAACCTTTATTTTCGTAGAGTTAGCGAAGGTCTTATCTGCGAGCTCTCTGATATTGTTGTTGGCAAGCACGAGTTCCTCAAGCTCGGGAAGGTTGCAGAAGAGGCCGCCAAGAATAGACTGCATGTTGTTGTTTCCGAGATCAATGGTCTTTATCTTGGGCGTGTACTTGAAGGTCTCCCGCGCGAGGTGGCGGATGTTGTTGTGGCTAAAGAAGAGCGTCTCCAGAAGCGGGTTCGCACTGAAAGCATCCCTCGCGACACTGTTGATGGAGTTCATGTAGAGGGAGAGGGACACGAGCTCTGGCAATCCAGACAAACTGGAGCTCTTGATCTTCCTGATCCTGTTGCTGCTCATGTCCAGGTACTGAAGAGTCGGGAGGCCATTGTGCTCATCCAGGTGAACGTCAGGAATGCGGTTAAAGGCTACTTGCAGGTTTTTTAGGGAAGTGAGCTTTCGAAGCGAGGACAGTGGTAGTTGCGACAGATTATTTCCATTGAAATTTATCACCTCGAGAGATTCCTTGAGGCCGTCGAAGGCATAATCCGACACCAAGTTGATCCTGTTGTCCTTCAGGTTGAGGCTGACGAGGGTGAGTTTCGAAAAGGCGAAACTGGGGATCTCGGTGATGTTGTTGTTCTCGAAGTCCAGGTTCGTGAGGCGGCCGAGCTGGAAGATGGGAGCTTGCGGGATTGAGTTGAGCTTGCAGTGCTTGATGGTGAGCTTCTCCAGACTCCCTTCCAGACCCTCGAAGCTCCCATCAGCGAGGCTCTGCAGGTTCGAGTGCGAGATCTGGAGCTGCGAGACCCCGGCGCTCTGGCTGAACACTTCCGAGGGCAGCGTCGTGACGTTAGGGTCGAGGTCGTAGATGCTCAGGGAGTGGATGGGATTGGTGACGAGGCCGAGCACCTTTGACACCATATCCAAGGACACCATCGGGCATTCCATGAAGATGCCGTAGTCATTGTTGTAGCAAGGGCACCACGGATTCTCCTCCCACGTCGGGCACATCATAGCCTCCTGCGACGACGCAAGAGGCAGCAGCGCCGCCAACGCCACCGCCACCGTTGCCAACATCCCCCCAGTCGTCGTCATCCTTAAAGTAACCATTTCATCTGCAAGGAATTAGAAAGATCTATGTCGGTCGTGGAAATAAGAGTCGTAATGTGTTAGAATAAAGGTAATAATCTATATGATAAATAAATGAAAGCACTTAAACAAGACACCATTTACATAATCAAAATCTAATTATCATTTTGACAATCAGACGTTGATGATGAGAATAATGAATACCTTCAGCAGAATAAACATAATTATGGTCAGTACCCGTAAAAGTAAATGGCATTCAGAAAGTAAATATATATTTTGTTTGTCTTCACTTTCTCGTCTAAAACATCTTACAGAGCGATTCACTGAAAGAAGATTCAATTTATATCTATCATGGTCGAGTATTGGCGAGCGAAAATGGGTAAAATAAGTTGATCCAAAAAACAAATCATATAATTATACGCAATGTATGAATCTCTTCAAAAAGTGTATATATGAATAAATCTCCATAAGATAAAAAGAACATAAGAATAAATGAATAATGATTTCCAAATAAAACAAAATAATAGCGTTGAAGAAAGAAATATATATATCATAACCAACACAAAATACAGGATTCGGGAACACGCAAAAATAAAGCCGGGTGCAAATAATGTTATATACGAACGCATAAAAGTCATTCCCAATGTAAATATAGATAAATATACAAGCGACAGCATGATCAAGTTGACTGTACCAACGGCTCCCAACAGATGGCGCGGACAGCTGGGTACAGAAGGGTGGAAGCCGCGCAGGGTACAGACGGGACCCAAGCCGAGGTACAGATGGCACGGGAAAGACACGAAAAAGCCACCACCCGTTCGGTTTAATTTGCTCTGTGTTGCACGTGTGGCTTATTTCACTCATTCGCCCCCATTCCGACACATGGCAAATGCGTGACAGAAAGAATGAGATAATTAGCTCGGTGTCTGCGTTTCCTTCATTTTTCCTCGTCCGGAGTTGCTGTGGGGGGGGGGTGTGGGTGGGGGGGGGTTCTCGGCGTGTGAGGGGGGGGGGGGGGGAAATTTCATGCTCCTCTCATTTTCTGCTCTTTTCTCTCTCTCTTCTCTCTCTCTCTCTCTCTCTCTCCTCTCTCTCTCTCTCTCTCTCTCTCTCTCTCTATCTCTCTCTCTCTCTCTCTCTTCTCTCTCTCTCTCCTTCTCTCTTCTCTCCTCTCTCTCTCTCTCTCTCTCTCTCTCTCTCTCTCTCTCTCTCTCTTTCTCCCCTCTTCTCCCTCTTCTTCTCCTTCCTTCCTCTCTCTCTACTCCTCTTCCCCATCCCGCCCACCTCTCTTCTCTATCCCACTCCTCCATTTTTCTCTCTCGCCCTCACCTCCTCCTTTTCCCTATCCCCCCTCACTCCCTTCCCCATCCTGCTCCACCCTCTTTCTCTCTATTCCCACTTCCTCCATCTCTCTCCGCCATCCTCCCTTTTCTCCCTAACCTCATCCCCCCACCTCCCCCCATCCCATCCCCGCCGGTTTAAGGACGCAGAAGCATAATCGTCAACTTGTTTATTGCGAATCCACAAGGTCCATAAAAATGCACGTGAAGGTCGCCGAGACTCGGGTGACCTTCTTCGGCATCTTCGCCAGCCGAAGAAGGGCATTCTTTAGGGCATTTGTTTTTGTTTGTTTGCTTTTGTTTGTGTGTTGTTTTTTTATGTTTCTTTTTTGTCGTTACTTGTTTATTACCATTTTTAAAGTTATCATTCATCATTATTTATTATTATGTGCTTTTTTGTCATTTGCTTTTTATTATCATTATCATAATTATCACCGTTCATTATTATTATCATTTTTATCATTATTTATTTATGCATTCGCTTTCCATCTTCTCTCTCTCTCCTTCTCTCTTCCTCTTCTCTTTCTCTCTCTCTTTTTTTCTCTCTCTCTTCTCTCTCTCTCTCTCTCTCTCCTCTCTCCTTCTCTCTCTCTCTCTTCTCTTCTCTCTCTCTCTCTCTCTCCTCTCTCTTCTCTCTCTCTCTCTCTCTCTCTCTCTCTCTCTCTGCCCATCCACCCCCGTCAACCCCCTTTCTATCCATCCACCCCCCCCCGTCCACCCCTCTCATCCATCCACCCCACCCTCACCCTCATCCTCATCCATCCACCCCCACCCACCTCCAACCCCCCATGGGCGCGTGTGCGGGCGTAAGGAAACAGGTGGACCCCGCGTGGCATGGGAGTATTTTGGTCTGTGCATCCCCGTCCCCCGGAACATGCTAGCTGGGGGTCCGAAGATGGGGGGGTCGAGGTAAGTGGGAAGGGGGAGGGAGGTCGAGGTAAGTGGGAAGGGGGTGGGGTCTAGGTAAGTGGGAAAGGGGGAGGGGGTAAAGGTAAGTAGGAAGGGAGGGGGGTCGAGGTAAGTAGGAAGAGGAGGGGTCGAATGGGTGGGGGGGGTGGGTGGGGTGTATAAGTGGTGCTGCCTATAAGTAATGTGTGAAAATACTTCGAGACTAAGAAAGGAGGAGGCAGATGCGGTTGATAAAAATGAGGTTTAGATTGAGAGAATGGTAGGTTATAGACATAAGGATTGGTAGGCAAGTAGAGAGATACATAGGATACTTTACGCACTCATAAATACACGAAAGAGAGAGAGAGAAGAGAGAGAGAGAGAGAGAGAGAGAGAGAGAGAGAGAGAGAGAGAGAGAGAGAAGAGAGAGAGACGAGAGAGCGAGAGCGAGAGCGAGAGCGAGAGCGAGAGAGAGGGAAAGAGAGAGAGAGAGAGAGAGAGAGAGAGAGAGAGAGAGAGAGAAAGAGACACACACAATAACAGACATACAAAGAGAAAAACGTTAAAGAAATGATAGACAGAAAGTAAGAAAGTTAGAAAAAAACAGAAGAAAGAAGAAAACAGACAAACAAACAACCCTTGTTTTATCCCTAATCACGTTCTAATTGCCGTAGAGGTGCTTCGAGTTCGCCCTTCATTATCCCTAATTAACTCTAACATCCTCTCAACGCAGAGCCATTATGGGCAATTAAGTGTCAAGCGAACTCCCGTCCCATAAGCTCCTCACAAAGGCCCTTGCAAGTGTGCGTTCGCCTCTGCAACAGCTGTGCACTTCTGGCGATGTTGATTCTTTCACTTCCGGTTTGGGCTTCTTGCTCTCGCCTCCGGTCTCACGCGCGCTGGAGGGGACGGGACCTGTGCGCGTGCCGGTTAGGCTTTGATTTGGTTATTTTAAGTTCTTTTTCTTCGTTTTTTCTCTTCTTTTTTTCTCATTATTTTTTCGTTTTTTTTCTCTTCTTCATCTTCTTTTCTCCCCATCATCTTCTTTTTTTCTGGTTCTAACTTCTTTTCCTTCTCCTTCTCTACTTCTCCTCTTCTTTCTTCTTCTTCTTCTCTATCTCCTTCTCCTCCTCCTCTCTTCATCTTCCTTTCCTCTTCCTCTTTACCCTCTTCCACTTCCTCTTCCTTCCTTCTCTTTCCACTTCCTCTTTCCTCTTTCTCTTCCTTCTGTCCTCTCCTCTTCCTCTTCTCTCCTCTTCCTCTTGCATCCCTCCTTTCCTCCTCCTTCCTCTCATCCTCCTCCTCCTATATACCTTCCTTCACCTCTTTTGCCCTGCATAATTTTTACGATAGATTTGATCAATTTGACTTACGTGAGCGGTAAAATTTCTCTCCTCTTCTTTCTTCATTCTCTTTCATTTTATCGATATGGAAGGACGATGCACTCTATCGAGAACCTTCCCGTATATGCTTAATTACTAATTTCTGTTTTTTTTCGCTGAAGGATTGGAGTCGTTTTTGAGAGCCTCGGTGAATTTGTGCGGAACAATTTATTGGCGGGATGGTAGTTGTAGGACTTCGAGCCTGGTGGTGGTGACTTTCCTTTTGTCTGTCATTGGCTCGTTTGTTTGTTTTTTATTTTGGCTTTCTGTTGTTGTCATTGGCTTTTGAATTGTGTCTTGTTTTGTGTGTTTGTGTTGGTTTGGAGGGTTGTGTTGTGTCCGTGTGGTCTTGTTGTGCGTTGTGTGTGGGTAGTTGAGCCGTTGGCGCTCTATTGGAGGCCGTGCTGGTGAGTTTTACTTTTGTGAGAAATTCTCTGAGCGGTTGCGTAGTGGTAATCCGTCCTTTTTGTTTATTTTCTGTTGCGCCGAGGCTATCCGTGGCGCCTAATACGGCTTCATGTAAGCGCGGCTAGTCACGGTATTGGGATGTCCATATGAAGAGGGCATGCCAGACTGCGTCGCCGCAGACCCTCCTCCTTCGCTCCTCGCCATACTTCTTAGAGGTCCGCGACGGCGCTGCCTCTTGCATCCGGCTTCCTGACACGGTAGGGCCGCCCCCCCCGCCGTCCCCCGGGGCGGGGGCGGGCGCCAGCGGGGGCGACATGGACCGGGGCTCGCGGGCGGGAGGACCCGTGGGAGGCGGGGCTGCACGTGCCAGATTTCGCCGACGGTCTCCTTTCCCCCGTCTGTACGCCGTGAGCGTCTCGTGTTTCCCCCTCTCTTCCCTCTCTGCATGTGGCCCTCTCGCCGCCTCGAGGCGGTGCCCCAATGAGGGTGGTGGGGCGGATGAAGCAGGGTAGAGACACCGTAGCGCGTTTCGGGGTCCGGAAGAGTCACGGAACGAGGGGGAAGGCAGAGGAGGGGAGGTAGATGCAGCAGAGCGTCGCATATAAAGACGAATCAGGCAGAGTGGAGGGTGGTGCAAGTGTTGAGAGTGTCCCCTGCCAAGTGCCTTGCTCGCGTCCCCGGCTCCTTTTCCTTGAGACTAGCTGTGGGGTCCCTCCTCCCACACGCGCCGCCGGCCCGCTTCCGCGCTCTCTCATTGCGACTGAGCTGGCGGGACCGCCCGTCGCTCCCTCCTTGCACTCCCGCACCCTCGAGGGCGACCACGGAGCGAGGACCTCATGAGGGGGTGAGGAGAGGGTTGGGGGAGGGGCACCTCCTCCTCACTGACTCTGCTCGGGAGGGGCTGGCGTCTATGAAACTTGAAATACCTGCTTCAAAATAGGGCGGGGCGGGATTTTTTAAGCGCGAAAGGTTGGGAGCGGGGAGTGACGGACGTGAAGGAGAGAGCTA